TTTCCCAATGCTCCTGAATTGTTTTTTTTTCCTTCAGGATGTCTATCCTACTTTCATTTAGCCCCATAGAGTACAGTTGGTCTTATTCTGAGGTAAATGTATAAAGCTACAGGGCCATAGTCTCGTTTTTATGCCTGCAGTGTGGAATGTAGAAGAAGTTATAGTATGAATTGGATATTCTTCTTGATGTTGCTGGTCTTTATCTCCTAGGTTTTCCCACTGTTATCCATGCAGCCTGAAGCTATTACAAATTGGTTCAGCATTATCTGGAGGGCCTTAGACTGTCCCACTGTTAATATAAATGAACACATAAACAAAGTAAAAGATTTATGAAGATACATTGCAGAGTAATGTTAGGAAAAATGTGGAGCATTTGAGCAGTTTGATAATGCAACTAGCTAGTTAGGAGATAGTGAACTCTCCTTTGTTGGGAGTGTTCAAGGAGAGGCCAGACATCCATCTATTGGCAATGTTTTGACTCTGCATTATATTGGATATTGAACCTGAAGGCCTAAATAGCACAATTTAATATAACTCTAGGATTGCAAAAGTATTTTGCAAAAAGTATAAAAATATTTAATTTTGAAGATTAACAATAGCGTCTTAATTGACACATTTGGGAGCTGCATATTCTGTTTGGGTTGATAGCCTGATTACTAAATATTCAGGATTAATTTTACAATAATAGTGTATATTCTCACAATAGTGTTGCTCTTATTAATATTATTGCCTTTTGTTTTTATATGATTTTTTCCATATTTTAGAGGCATATAACATTGTTTTTAAGAAAACATGGGGAATATTTTTCTGCTGTTTAGTTTCCTGAATTTAGTAAGAGAATATACTTCAACCGCCCTCCCCCCAGACACCTCTAACCACCCTGATATATGTTCCCTTGAGGGAAAAACATGAAGATGCTTATCAACAGTGATGGACTTTACTTATGTGTTATCGGTGGCATACAGTAGCGCTTTTGACAGAAAAATAAAATTGCTTGTGATAAGGCAAAGTCTCAAAAGTACATAAGAATACTATGGATATTTCTCTGAGTTGATAAAACCATTTATGGCTATGATAACTATTTATCTTTAAAAACATACAAATATTAGAAAAACTGCATTTACACAAATATTTTTTTAAATAATAAACTTCCAAATAACAGGTTATATGATTTTTCATATAGGATGCTTAGACAAGAGAACGTAAACAATCTAGATAAGAAATGAAGAAAGGGAAAGACCAAGAATATTACATTATGTATCATTTAAGGCCTAGTAGGCAAGGGCAGCTGGGTAACAAACAGAAATTATAGTTTAGAATTTTCCCATATCATATATCATCTTCACTGAGAAAGCAACGAAGCTGAAATTTCAAACTGGTCATGAATGTTAAAATACAGAAAACATAGTTGAAATGTAAATGTGTTAAAGCTTACCCTTCTCAATCACTTGCTTTTGCCAAAAGCCTATTAGTTCTGTATCAGTCAGGCTGGAGTCATCTATCACATTCACACACAATACGGTACAACCAGATCTCCTGCAAATTTAGTTTCTCTCTGGACCAATTTTTCAATATTTTCTTTGATTCCTACCCTTGTAATTTTCAACATAGAAGTCCCAACTGGTTGTATGCACATCTTCCATGCTCTTACTGACATTGCAATTGTTGCCTCTTAGTGAATTGAGTCCTCCTGGACAAGTTATTTCCAGGGTCCAGAGGTTAAAAGAAGGCTGTCAGAGGAACTATGGTTACTGCTAATTAATAGAAACTGTACAGATATTCAAAGTACTTTTTTTTCTCCACCCTCCCTCCCTCCCTGTTTTATTTGCTTGAATAAAGGAGATCAAACTGAAGTTTATAATATGTCAAGATATATTCATGATTTGCCCAAGAAAATATTTTTGAAATTTAAGTGCTAAGTGGCTTATGCAAGTAGTTCGTTCTTCATAAGCATCTTCATAGTTCACTGTTACCCTTAACAGTAATAATAGAAAATATTTACATTGTGAAACTAGATGAAATTGGTGCTTTTTAACAAAAGTCTATTACCAGTTGGCTGGGCTCATATGTTAATTGCAGGGCTAGAAACAATGCTAGAGGTATACAGTATTTGGATTTGAAGAAGTACGAGTGCTTTGGATCCTGTGGGGGCACCTTATCTCTACTATTGGTTCCTTCTTAAATCTCTGTTGCTACCTCCTTAACTCAAACACATATTTTCCTGAATCCATACAGGCACAATGTGGACACAGGAAAAGGCACAGCTTCTTTAAGGAGCAGGTGACAGAAGGTGCACGTGTCAGATCTGAAGTATCCTTACCTGATTGAGATCTGAATACTGCACACATTTACAGAACTCAGTTCCTCATTCATATAATGTGTAATGTTGAAGTAAATTATAGCTGTGATGGCCTGATTTACAGTGTATGCTAAAATAATGTATGGGTTCCTGATACATGCTGCACTACAAGGTAACAAATGTCATTCCAGCTTAGAAAAACATATTGTGTGAACTTTGCCATTTTCCAATAGAAGTATCCCCTTTCTCTGAGTCATTCTACAGGATCATACTTGGTAACTCCAAAGAACAGAATATCCTGTTATGAGATTGTATATAGCTAAGGATTCTTCTGCAGTATTGGATCACCTCTGGATATGATGATTAAATATGTAAATATCATCTTTGCAAAGCTTCTCTTTTCT